AGACCAGGTGTCAGGGTGACATCCCCAGTGAGGGGCTGGCCACGAGGCCCAGAACTGTCCTCACAGGGAGTGCGAGCAGCTGCACCTCATCTCTCTGCTGGCTCAGGGTGTCTGGCTCCTGGCTGTGTCCCTGTTGATTTCTACCCCGGGTCACGCAGCCCTTTCAGTGAAGTAGGATGCAAAGATCCTGCATATCCACATTAGAGGCCAAAGAAATTAGCACCATTATGTTGGGAATTATCAAGAATTAATGGTCAAAACCTGCGTGTATCACAAACATGTACCAATAATAATACATCCCATCAATGATAAATTGGGAGAGGGAACTGTCAAAATTACATTATGGAAACTCACAGATTGTAACAGTGTAGGGAAATGAGTCTGCTTGGATATATGGGTCAGAAGATGATCCTTGCAATGTGTGTCTAAGCTTCAGAGAAATCCAGCACTGGGAGGAGAGTGCAGGTGGCAGTGTGTGCAAACGCGCTGGGCACAGAGAAAGTGGAAGGTCTGTTTGCTCTGGACAAAGGATGACATTGTGCTGTTTCCTGAGTGTGTTGATATGAAAATGACCAATGTTTCCCTCCCACCTCTACTGTGCTGCCTTGATCAGAGTCTTCTTCACAGCATGACCAGTGATCCTACACTCACTGTCCATGTCACAAATGCTGAAGTCCCTTCCTGCACAGCGTAGAATAACACCCCAGGGTTTCTGCCCTGCTGTGAAGCTCAGGGATCTCCCATGAAGCCGCAGGGGAACAAAGCTGCCAGGGGCTGTGTCACCAGAAGGAGGGCTATGGTGAGGCCGGGCTCGAGGGTCTGTGCCTGGCAGAAAGGTGGGAGTTTCCTCTGTTCTCTGGATGTGGTGGACCAGAGACTCTAGGCACACAGGGGAAGCATGTCCCCAGCTGACAGGGCCCTCAGCCTGCTGTGAGCAAGGAAGCCCACCCACACTGCAGGAGGGCTGGAGTGCTGGGTGTGTGGAAGGAGGAAAGATGAGGCTGCATCCAGCCTGGTGGAGGCCCAGGAGATGGTTCCTCATGGAAATCCCAAGGGAAGTCTAAGTGAGGCTCAACACAAACTGCTTTGATCTGTATTTGATATTACTTAGATTCATGTTGCAGATATATCTGTTTAAGCAGTCTTTTCTTTGTGAAAGTTGGCCTTATTTTTCCTTTAGTTTATTAGGACTGTTTATTTGGCCTCATCAATTAATTCCCTGAAAAGAGCTAGAATCTGAAGTGTTTTTGCAGATATAATGACAGTGAAGTCATTGGAAAAATCAGTCCGCCATGCTCATTGTTCATCTGGGTTCTCTGCAGCATCCGGCTCGCTCACCTCTGGTTAAAGGAAAGCAGCTCCTCCCTTGACGTCTGGGTTGTGGGACTTCACAGTTCCACACCCACCTTCTCCCCTCCTGCTGCTTCTACCCAAACTCCCTTACCAAATGTTAAGATTTTTGTTCTTAGTTCTGTTTACATCTGCAGTGCCTGGGAGGTGTGCTTATCTCTGTAGCTTCTATTCCACCAATAAAAAGTTCGTTATGGAAAACTCTGGTAGAGACTAAGGTCAGCTTAGCACCTTTCCTGACAGCACAAATCTGATAACAGATGGAATTCAGAACTTTCCAAGCAAATTCAGGAGTCAGGCAGCTCACAGAGAGGCAGGTGAGACAGGCTGAAGCCAAGAACACAGGAGACGTGCCTGTGGGCCTGGGGGTTTTCCTCAGCATGGTGGCACAGAGCTATTTTCCCTCCCTGCCTGCATGTTATGTGGGAGCCCAGAGGAGGTGGGCTGGGATTCAGCACTGGGTCATGGATAGCCCTGTCCTTGTCAGAGCAGTTTGGACCTGGTCAGTGTCTGTTACTAGAAGTAGAATTCTGAGGTGCTTCCAAGAAGCAGTGTTATGACATCCCTTATTTCAGCATACAAAATGGTTTTAACTCATGTGGACATTTTATCCTCCACTGTTTTGAGCACCAAAAACAACAATTTGACTTTATTTCCAAAAGGAAGCTAGCACATCCTGGGCCACTGGGGGCAAGACAAGATTCTCTAGGAGGGAAGAGCCTGTGAGGTAACAGAGAAACCAAAATTGAAGATGAGGCTCAAGATGAATTAATCATGGCAATCGATTTTTTTTCCCCACTCTTCAGTCCTGTAAATGAAAGCACATCTCTTTCCCAGAGATGACTTTTATGACCATCTCTCATATTGAATTAACTTGAAGGCCTCAAACGAAAGAGAACAAATTCTCTTGAACAAAGTTTGGCCACTCCTCTATTTACCAACTGGAATCCTGTAAAATAATTTCTCCCCATCGTAAGGGAGTTTTGTTTAATTATTTTAATTTTATTGATGAGTTGTAAGAAAGCCAATTTTGATATTACTTTGACCTGCTGGTAACTCCTGTGGAAGCATGTTTTTAAGTCTATAATCCAAATTGTATTATGAATCAATGATCAAAAATGTAAAAGAAAAAAGGACAAAAGAAAAATTACTGAGCTCAAGTAAAAAAGGGAACAGCAGTTCACAGAATGGACAAATAAATAACAAGTAACTGAACAAACAAATATCTCTAGAAAATCAGAGTGCACTCAAATATACTTTTGACCAAATCAAATTATAGTAACTTTATTACAATTTTAGAAGTTTATAAGTATGAATGTACTAGTCAGATTTCCTTGTTCATGAATTATCAGACATCTCTCATCAGAAGAATTTAGCAAGAATAAAATCTTTCATCTAAAAGGAATATACATTTTAAAATATTTTGTTCTGTCTTAAGAATGCTGGTAACTTTTACTTCAGTTATCTCTGTATACTCTATTCACCTTTCAGATCTTTGATTTCCATTTTGGTTACCATCTCTTGAGCATTCTGGTTCAATTCCTTCAATAGACCCCAGGTCAGAACTAGCCTTGTTGTTGTCAACTTCTCCAGATCTGGCTTCATGATACAGCCAGACAGCATGTTCTTAGCAAAACACAAGCATAACCTCAACCCTAAATTAGCTTCTTTTTTTCAATCTGATGGAATTGTCTTTCTGCTGCTGTACTTCCATCTTTTGTACAATTTAAAAAGTTAATAGTATATACTGCCAAGTAAAGTCTACTATGAGGTGTGAATTTTGTAGGAAAAGATTGCCCCTTTTGGTTTGTAATTGAATTTTATTTGTACGGTGAGAAACCTGCACCCTATGTTTTGGAAAAGGAAGCCACCACATAGCCTCCTTTACCCTAAGATGACCCATCTGTGGAAACAGAAACACAATGAAGTAACTTGTCTGAAGGATAATGACAATCAACGACACCAGGGAAGTTAACCAATGTGGATCATGAAGAGGATGAAAATTGTCATAACTGCTGTTGAACCAAGGGAAAAGGAACAGTGATAGTTTGCACCTCATGACCAAAGCCATTGAACAGGACCCTGACTTCCAGAGGACCCCAGTGGGAGTATATTGAGTTGGACAAAGCCAATTAACATTACCAAGTGTGAAAATCAGTTAGGGTTGCAAAGTGATTAACCTGGATCTGAACAGATTGGGATAATCTGGCCTTTGTTGGACAAGGTGACCCAAACATGAAGAAGTTACCGTAGCTTACACCCCTTTGGAGGATACCATTAGGCCTGCCATTATTTTAGTGGAATGTCTGAATCAAGTGAATTTTTAAACTCCAGTGCTCTCAGATTGCACTCTAAGCCTTTATATCTCTTTGTAAAATATCTAGGCTTCTCTATATCAATTAAATTTAGAAATGTAAGGCAGTCGGTTAACCTCATTAGGCATCAAGAGAACTTTAAGTAATCTTTTAAAATATACCCATTATACTAAATCTTAGGAAATATTATTTTTTTAACTAAAGGCAAGATGTTTTTTTATCTTGAGAATGGAAACAGCCTTTTAAATCCATCTCCTTAAGGGAAAAATGTAAAGACTTTTCTTTTAGTGTCAATTGTAGTGGAGTGAGAGAAAACCGCTTTATTCCCTGTGAGGCTGAATTGTCTTTGGCATCCCTCCAGATCAGCACTCTAGCACTTCTATTACTGCAGACTTGTAGTTGCCACACCCAGAGGCCATCCACACTTGTGTCTAAAAGCCCTTTAAAATGTTTTTCCTTTTGTGTCTTTGGAAATATGTGCCAGAAGACCCTAAATCCTTGAATCCCCCTCTTCTATTTATAATTTTTAAATTTTTAACAAGGGAAGAATGACCAATTGAGTAATATGAGAGCCTGGGTTGATTTGAGCATTGTTTTGAGTAATTTGAATTTTAACCTTGATTTCCTCTCTTTAGTCCAAATCAGTGACACTGGGCAAAGCCTGGAGACCTGTTTGCAGCCTCTGGCCGCAGCTTTCATTCCATCACCTTGGGGCTGGGTGAGCTGCAGGCAGAGGCTCACTGACCTGCCTTAGTATTGGGAATGGGCTCCATTGCCTACACCTCCCCATCCCCAGGGGATGTGGTGCTCACTGCTTCTGCATGCAGTGGCTGACAAAATAATTTTTTTTTTTGGTTTTCCTCTTCTTTGATCTGGGCCACTGTCACTTTGATGGCTCTTAGTGAAGTGCTCATTGCTGGTGTAACGGATGTGGCCAGCTGGCAGGCAGGCTGCAGGGGTGAGGTGCCCAAGAAGTTTTTAGGGATCCAGCTTGCTGGGGAAGGGATCGGGGATGTGTGTACCCACTACCTTGGCAGGCTGACACCAGGGATTGGGCATACCTGGAGTTGCTCCCGCTCTAGCCACTGGACTTGCTGTTTCTGCTGAGATGCCACGTGCAAGTGCTGTTTGTGTCAAGTGAACTTCCAGTGACAAAAGTGAGTGTGGTGCATCCGGGGTGCACTGCAGTCATGTCCTGCCTGTTCAGTCCCAGGTGCCCACGCCTATAGTTGGTGGCATGCGTAGACAAGCAGATGGCTGGGATATCCCCTGAGTCCACCTAGGACCCGAGCTGTGGGCCCTCCCTGCACCCAGCCTGTGCTCCTATTGTTTCAGGGGGCTGAGGTGGGCCGTAATGGAAGTTTCCCAGAATGAGTCCAGGAACAGGGCCGAGTTCTCCATTCCATCCATGACAGAAGATGATGCAGGGCGCTATTGCTGTTACTGTCGAGGCCCTGCTGGCTGGTCAGAGCCCAGTGAGCCCCTGGAGCTGGTGGTGACAGGTGAGGGGACACTCGGGGTCCCAGCCCCAGGCTCTGTCCTCAGGAAGGGCTCTGCTCTCAGGGGTGCCCCCTCTCACAGCCCAGACCTGGGGTCTTGGGGAGGCCACAGCACAGCTAGAGGAGGAGGCAGAGGTCCATCCCTGGGGCAGTCCAGGCCCACATCCTCTGGAATCCTCATCCCTGGGGTGAGCCCCGCCCCACGCTCAGTGCTCAGCTCCACAGCAGGAGAGTCTCGGGCTCTGTCCCTGTGACCTGTGTCCAGGCTGCCTGGAGACTCTCGGCCCATCTCAGTCCTGGCTCTGGTCTCTGATCTGCTGGTGTCCAGGGACAGAGAAGTGGGACAGGAAACACGATGCCCAGAGGCTCAGAATCCAGGCTGCATGGAGTGGTTTCAAAGCCGATGTGGGGAGCAGGGAGCCCAGCCCCTCACCTCCCCATCCCTCCCAGGAGGCCCTGAGGATCAGACCCTCACGCCAGAGTCTGGACTCCAGGTGGAAAGTGAGGGCGCTGCTGGGAGGGTCGGGGCGGGGCTGGCTGTGGGGCGGGTGCAGCCTCCTCTGGAGATGCTGACTCGGACCAGCCCCTCCTGTGCGGGCCTCAGTTTCTCCAGGTGTGAAGGAGAGGCCTGGGTCCGACCTTCAAGTTCCTCTCCTGCTGATCTTCTGTGAGGCCTGGAAAGGCGGCCTCCCAGGGGAGCCTCCAGGACCTCATGCTACAGGGCTCCTGTCCCTCTGTGCAGTGAAGGAGACAGTGTATAGGGGAGGGTACAGGGCCAGGGCAGGGTGTCCAGGCTCCTTCCCTCCAGCTGAGGGGCCTCAGCTCTGCTGGAGAGAGCAGGGCCGGAAGTCCAGCTCCCCAGGTTCATCCCCATCTGGGCTTCCTGTTGGTTCCCTGGGCTGGCAGTCCCCCTCTCTCAGCCTCCATCTCCTCCTTGGTGACCTGCATGAGGGGCTGCTGATCCCGTGTGTAGGACCGTGAGGGTGTGAGGCGGGGAATGCAAAGACCCTGCGTGGGCTGGGAACACCAGGTACTCAGTGAGGTGCAATTTTTCTCTTTAAGGCAGCTCTGCTGGCCCAGGCCTGCAAGGGAAAAATAAGGCTGTGATCTGGGTCTCTGTGCCCTTCTCCCTGCTGCTGCTGCTGCTCCTCCTCCTCCTTTTCTTTCGATACTGGCGCCAGGGAAGAAGCAGGAAGGCAGGTGAGTAGGAACAGTGGGACCTGGGCCTCAGACAGTTGTGGGTTCCACGGTCCACAGGGAAACCTGTCCAAGGGGACAAGTCTGCATAGAATCTCTAGAGCAGAAGCCAGAGCAGAGAGGTCAGCACAGAACACACAGCACCTTCCTGTAGGAGTTTCCAGTGTGGGGTGAGCTTCTCCACCTCACGCTGTATCAGCTCCATGCTCAGTGTGGCCCGAGGCTTCCTCCTGCCCTGCGTGGCCTATGGACCGGGTGGTTCTGATGTCCTGGCTGAGACTCTGTCCATCTCCCAGCCCAGAGAGAGGTTGACTTGCCATGTCCTGCAGGGGCCGCAGGGCCAGCACCCCTGGATAGAGGCCTGCAGAAGAGGTCATTCTGCCCGAGGACCCTGACTCCCCGCCTGCCGCCCCTCACGGCCACCTGACACCCCCTTGTGTCCCCAGCTCCTGTCCAACAGCTGCGGCCGAGGAAGATAACTTCTGTGAGAGAACGTGGGGTGTAGGGTTGTCAGTGCCCCAATGTCTTAGCATTACAGAGCCAGGGGGAGGCTGGGGCTCAGACCTGAGTCAGACTGAACCCCGATATTGTTGTCCTGGGGACATCACACAGCTGCCTGGCTCTGTGTCCCCAGCTGGACAGGGCAGGGCCTGCGGGGCTCAGAGACCCCAGTGACTGTGAGTGTGAGGTACCACGGTCTCCTTCTCTCCCTGCAGATGCCGCCGTGAAGGACACAGCACCTGAGGACAGGGTGGAGCTGGACACTCGGGTGAGACCCCCCCATCCAGGGCACAAACTTCCTGTCCCCCAATTCAGTCCAGGGCGCTGCTCTGTCCTCCACCACTCAGCTCCCAGGGACCTCACAGCTGCGCCTCCCTTCTGGAAGCCCCGGCCTCAGCCTGCTGTGACCCCACCCTCTGCTGGTTTCCTGTGACCTTGGGTCCCCTCCCTCTGTCCCCTTCCTGGCCCTCAGCCTCAGTCTGGCTGTTCCCTGCCTGGGCCTCAGAAGGACCCTCAGTGAATGAGCCACCCCATGCCCCTGAGGCCTCTCCCTCATTCATGCAGCGTTCATTTGTGGGGGGCTCCCTCTTGACCCAGCTCCAATGGGGGCTGTAGATGCACCAGTGAGCATAGCCCCCTCCCTCCCTGAGTCACCTTGAGGTGGGAGGTCAGTGTCAGGAGAGCACAGAGCTGGGAAAGAAAATTAAGCAATGAAAGGTGGAGCATCAGGAGTGTCAGTGAGAATCACAGGGAGGACTCTGGTAAGGTGACTGCTGAGCAGAAGCCTGCATGGAGAGGGGACCTCTAATGCACCAGCACTGCAGGCAGAGCGCAGGGCAAGTGCAAAGGTCCTGAGGCAGGGATGGGCTCCTTCAGGAAAATGGGCCATGTGGCTGCAGCCTTTGGAGCAGGGTCCGAGGGTCAAGATGTGAAGACAGCACTGCAAAAAGGAAGCGGCCAGACCTCTGAGGACTTAGGAAGCCCCTGAAGGTCCAGGAGGAAGGGACAGAGTGTGATCTAATTTCTAAAGGATCCCTGTGGCCGCCCTGTGGAAAACTGGCTGGTGGAGACCAGCATGGAACCAAGGAGACCCCGTCTCTGTCTCTGTCTCCCTGCTGCAGAGCCCACCTGCTGAGGACCCCCAGGGAGCAACGTACGCCCAGGTGAAGCACTCAGCACCCAGGAGGGCCCGCCTTTGGCCTTATCAGGGAGCTCCTGGACACCAAGTATGGACACCAGAGCCCAGCTCCCCTGAAACCAAGTTGAACCTCCCCTCTTCTCTCTCCCCTGCAGGCTGCTGTCCGTGTGGGTCCCCAGTACACGATCTGTGCTTAGCTGGGCAGCTGGGCGCTCAGACAGGGGGCAGCTGCACCTCCTTCCTCCAGGGATAGGGTCCTTCCTGCAGAGCCCAGTGTGTATGCCGCCCTGGCGTCCACTCATGCAGAAGGCGACCCAAAGAACACTAAGTGATGTCTCAACCAGGGACACCTGACAGAGATGCCAGAGGTTCTGTATCCTCCTGAGACTCACCTGACCCTGCGATCAGAGAGAGCTCACACCTCTGTGTGCTGGAAATAAAACCAGAGATTCTCCAATAACCACCGAGTGAGTGAGAAATGGAGTCATGGGAGAGAATGTGGAAAATGAATGATAGTGTTAATGGCAGCATGACATACCGCAGGTAGGAAATGAGAAAGTTAAGAACCATGGGAGAATACATTGGAAAATATTCTGTAAGAATCACTGAGCCCAAATATCTTATCACAAATTAGGAAAAGTATAGGAAATAACTGTAAAAAACAATGTTAGCTACTAATGAGGACTTAAAGAGTTGACACACATTTCAACATCAGAAAACAGCAGACATCAAGACAGATCCCACATGTGTTTCATAGAACTAAGGGCAGGATATTACAAATAACTTTATGCCAGCATGTCATAAGATACAGATGAAATGGACAATGTCTCACGGACACAATTTACTAAGTAGAGATAAAGCTGAACAGAAAATATGAATCATCTCATGTGTGTTGACCACATTTGCTAGGGTAAACTGAGGCACAGTTGGGACCACCGAGAGCAGCAGGGTTTAAGCAATGTGTGAGGATTTTAACGCAGACCAAGCGCAGCCAGGTCAAGAATGAAAATCCCATTGGCTCCAAGTAAGGGGTGAGAGCATGTTTTACAGGGGAGTTTAGGTAAAGAAGGGGGGCACTGCTGAGTGGGGTGCAAAATTTTGAGTCTCTGAGTAGGGGGTGTGGGGCTTGGTGATAGACAGGGTGGTGTTGGGTATGGGCCGGGGGGTGGTGCTGGCAGGTGCAGCATGTCTTTTGTGTTTTTTCCTGGAATCAGCTCCCTGCAGGTTGAGCTGGGTGAGGCAGCTGCTGGCTTCCTGCTGAATATGGTGCTCCGGCAGCGGTGAATGACAGGTCTGTGTGGGAGTTTTTCCTCCTAGCTGGGCAGGGGTCGAGTTTGGAGACCTGACAACACTGACTCTGTAATTAAAACACTTCCCCACGCAAATTCTAGTTCAACAGTTTTGCTGGTGATTTCTTTCACAGTGAAGAAATACAAATCACACACTTCCACAGAGATTTTTTTGCAAATAGAAAAGGAGAAAAGACAGCCCGACATATTTTATCAGATCAGGAAAATTATTATACCAAACCTTGACAAGGAAACTACAAAATGGGAAAGTCACATGCAGCACTCTCACATCAACCTAGGTTTGAGTCCCAAAAAATAGCCCTTCATGCAGAGGTGGTGGTCCTTACTTGTCATCTCAGCTACTCGGGAGGCTGAGGCAGGAGGGCCCAAAGCTTGAGCCCAGCCTGGGCAACTCAGGAAGACCCTGTCAGAAAATAAAACCAGAAGGGCTGCGGCCAGAAATAAGTGCTGTCTGTGTCGAATCCAAAGTCACCCCTCAAAAAAAAAATAGAGTAATTTTCAGTTTATATATATATATATAATACATCATGATGATATTCCTGGTGTTTTTGGTTTTATTTTTTCATTTGAAAGGGAAGAGTAGCTTAAAATTTAAAAGTACATGGACATGATGGGACACATTAACACCACCCATAAATGAAGGCATGGGTAGTTCTCTGTCTCTCTCTCTCTGTCTCTCTCTCTGTCTCTCTCTCTTTCTCTTCTCTTCCCCTTCCTGGCTGCTGTGAGCATCTTTCCCTGACCTGTGCTATGAGGTTCCTGTCTCCCCATGGCCCTAAAAGCCGTGCAGCTGGTGACTGTGCATTGCAATGCCTGGAGCTGAGAGTTGAAATCAACCTTCCCTCATCTAAGATTTTTCAGGTATTTTGTAACACCAACATAAGCTAACACATGTACCTCACAAAGAGTACTGAAGGGAGTTCTTCACTTTTAGACCGAAGGTACTGAACCACAGCACGGGGGTGGGTGTAGCTCAGTGTAAGGCACCTGCTCAGCGTCCACGAGGCCCTGGGTGTGATCATCAAAACACCACAAAATGAAGGGAAAAAATCCAGCAGCATGAAAGCGTTTCACACCGCAGGACTCATGGGTGAAGTGAGTGTATAAGGAAATACAGAACACGGCTGCCCCATAGCTGCGGGGTGTAAATCACACTAACTCTGGTGGGTAAGTTCAATAGGGCACAGCTGGGGTGGAGCTCACTGATAGAGCACTTGCCTAGCATGTGCATTTCCCCGACCACCGCTTGCCACTAGGGGGCTCGGGCCTGCATTTCAGCCTCTGCAGTACCAGTACTCCTGAGGATGATCAAGGAGCCTTTCACGCTCAGCTCTGACACTGAGGCTTTACCTGTTACTGTCTGAGAAGACCCAGCTCCATGCTCGTTGAATGTGGCCCATATTTGGCTCACTGCGCATATAAACACCTCCTCCTGCCTCAGGGTGGGAGACACTCCTGTCTCACAGCTCTCCATAAATTCCCAATAAAGCTCCCAGTGTTGGGGGCTGGGGATTTAGCTCAGCGGCACAGCGCCAGCCTGGCAAGTGCAAGGTCATGAGTTCGATTCCTGGTACCAGAAAAAAAAAAAAAAAAGCTCCCAGTGTGCCCTTGGAAGCCTCTGCCTCTCCCCTAGTCCTTCCAAGTCTTCCACCTTCAGTGGCCGCTTTTCCTGCCTGGCTTTCAGAGAACGTGAGAGGGGAGGCTGGGTGTCCACAGCATGGTGCCCGGGCCTCCTTCTCTCAGGGAGCTCCACCTCTGCACTGTGTCCTCACAGTGTGCCCAGCACTCTGCTCCCCAGTCGGCTGAGACAGGGCGGCTGCAGAGGGCTGGATCAGGCGCTTCCTGCCCAGGTCAGGGGGGCTCTGATGAACCCACGGGTCTGGCTGTGTGAATTCCTGCTCCTGAGGGCGTCCTGTGAGGACAGCAGAGCTCTCAGGGGTCTCACAGCGGTGCCAGGAAGTGAGTCAGCTTCGCTGCCCTGTTGCCGAATCCCAGCACATGGCTCCAGGGAGCTGCACAGACAGGGTTCAGTTGGTGCTGCTCCCATCCACCTGCAGCAGGAACCTGCATCTTCCCTGGAGCATCTCCAGGGCTGGAGGATGACTGCCACGGTGAGGAGCAGCGTGCTGTGCAGATGAATGGACTGAGAGAGGAGACCTGTGGGAGGCTGTGAGAGGAAGGACCGGCCCTGGGCTCCGTCCCCCGGAAGGGGCGGGATCAGGAATGCTTCAGGTCTATCAGCTGACGTATCTTGTGTCTTGGTGAGATGAGGATGGATGAGGAAGATAGAGGATGTGGTCTGGTGAGACACTGTTTCTCTCTGAAGAGTCTTCAAGACCCTTGAACCTTCCTGTGCTGCAGGCCTGGGAGCACAGGCCCAGGCTCTGGCGGGAGATCAGTTCCCTGCCTACGGGTCTTCTGATGTGACAAATGTATGACAGGGAAGACCAGGTCACTCTGACCACTCGCTGTTGGTCTGTCTGCTGCACAGAGCGCAGGGTGCCATTTAACCGGACAGTCACTGCCCCTCACGCCCAAGGCCCTGTTCTGTCCTGGGGAGATCCAGAAATGTGACAGCAGCATCTCAGTACTGGAGGGACCTCACCATTCAGCCATGTCCGGACCGTCAGGGAGGAGAGGACGTGCTCCAGCTCCAGGGCAAAGCTCTCCCAGGGAGCTCGCTTCCAGGGGCTGAGTCTGGGCTCCAGGACCCGAGTGCAGGCAGGTGTCCTGGGTCCTCCTCCTCCTGGGGCTAAGAGAGCACCCTTGAGCAGTGGGGATGGAGCACAGCAGGTGTGATCAGGTGCTGGGAGGTCTGGAGGGTCCTGGGGCTGAGAGCTGGGAGCTGAGGGGAGGAGGAAGGTCCTGGGAGGAGGGTCCTGGACTGAGCCAGGATCTGTCGTCATCTGGGGAAGGTCTATGAACATCTGCTGTCAGGGGACCATGGAGATCAAAGTGCACTTTCTGCATAGAGCAAGAAAATCAGAGATGCTGGAAAGTATACTCCTTTTAAAAGCCCAGCAAGAAGGTCATGTTTTCTGTTTCATCCAGGACAGTGCTCCATGTGCAGTGACCTCACTGCTACTGCCTTTCCATCTGGTCAGAGCGCACTGAGCCCCTGGAGCTGGTGGTGACAGGTGAGGGGACCCTCAGGGTCCCAGCCCCAGGCTCTGCCCTTGGGAAGGGGTCTGCTCTCAGGGGTGTCCCCCTCTCACAGCCCGGCCCTGTGAGTCCATTTCACACGCTGCCTCCTTCTCTACCAGGAGTCTCCAGCAAACCCAGCCTCGAAGCCCTGCCCCGCCCAGTGGTGACCTCAGGAGGGTCTCCACTGTGGCTCAGGGCCGGGAGCAAGCAGGTTCGTTCTGACTAAGGAGGGAGAAGACAAGCTCTCCTGGACCCGGGACTCAGAGGGAGATCACCATGGGCAGGTCCAGGCCCTGTTCTCCGTGGCCCTGTGGCCCCCGTCCACAGGTGGGTGTTCAGATCCTACAGCTATTAACGAGCCAACCCCAGGTGTGGTCGGCGCCCGGTGACCCCCTGGACATCCTGATCACAGGTGAGGAGCCCGGGGCTCAGTCAGGGGCCCAGACCCTGCCCAGGCCCTGCTGGGGGAGCCCAGGAGGTGATGGCCAGGGGGAGGGTGGGTGTCAGGGAGGGAGAGAGAGAGAGACGGGGGAGGGCAGGAGGGACAGAGTCAGGGGAAACAGAGACAGGCAGAGACCGAGGGTCCTCAGAGACAGCTCTGCTGAGGCCTCAGCTCAGAGCAAGGTGGGGCCGCCCTCACCAGCCTCCTTCTCTCCAGGACAGCTCCCGGGCACGCCCTCCCTCTCGGTGCAGCCTGGACCCTTGGTGTCCTCAGGAGAGGATGGGACCCTGCTGTGTCAGTCCTGGAGCCCGATGGACACTTTCCTTCTGTCCAAGGAGGAAGCAGGTGCTGCTCCCTTGCTTCTAATGTCAAAGTTCTGAGTTCAGTAGTATCAGGCAGAATTTTCCCTCACACCTGTGATCTCAGGCCTTGTGGGGTCCTGCAGGGACTGCTGTTACTGTCCACTGACCTCCTGGACCTCACATTCTCAGGGGAAGAGTCCCAGTCCCTGTCCTCACTGCGCCTAAATGATTAGCAGTGCCCTGACTGCAGGACAGCGCTGAG